ATTGTTGAAAAACTACTGTGTTTCCCTGAAAATAAGACAGGGTCTTATTTTCTTTTGAACCCCGAAATAAGGCCTTGGCCTTGTGTGTGTGTGCGTGTGTGTGTTTGAGAGAGAGGGGGGTTTATTTTCGGGGGAGGCGTATATTTAGGCCCACTCCAAAAATCAGTCTTGGCCTTATTTTCGGGACATGTCCTATTTTCAGAGAAACATGGTTTTATAAGCTTTTTTTTAAAAAAATGTTTTGCTTTTTACTTACTTTTCAATAGATACAGGGCTGTGTTTGTATGAAGTGTTATTTTACATCCTCCCTGAAGTCATTTAAGCCACTAGAGGGCAGTCTCGTAATTTTGTGCAGCCTACATTTTCTATTTTTAATTAAAAGATATGCAGGCTGCAATATAGATGGATCATAATTGACAAGGAAAGACAAAAGATTGTCTCTTCAAACAAAAACTAACAGAGCCAAGCACATCTATGGATTATGCTTTCTTTTGTCTAAAACAATGTGCTAATTGACTGAATTTACCTTTTTTTTAATGAGAAATCTTAAGCTAAAACAGACTACCAAACTGTCGATTCAACACTGCTCACTGTTACTCTGCATGACATCTGTCACATACAATATTTTATTCACATTACTTAAATAGCTAGAATGGTGCCCTAGGATTGTGTAGAATTTCCTGCAAAAGGCCAAAACAGAGGAAAATGAGGAATGCTGGATGCCTGAACTTCAGTACGATTCCACGTGCTCTGCTGAATCTCATTCTGTGGAAAGCAAACAGGTATTTCTTCATTTCAGAAAAATAATGATGTTCAATTTTGCTTTGAATCTGTTGCATGCAACCTTCCATTCACAATAGGGCTGAATGTTGCCAAGATCGAGCTCTATTTGTTAAATTCATTCAATCTTGACAGATAAAACAGGACACAACCTATACCGTATCTCTGAGGTTGGGAATGGTGGGGGTGGAAAAAGCACAAAGAGGGCTCTCTTCAGTAGGGGATAGCCTGCTTTCAGGAAACAGTCAACCTGTCAGCCTACAGAAGACTCACAACCACAGTGAGACTGCAGCCACAGTGAACACAGGGTTGCCAAGCCAAATGGTTTGTATTGGTTCAAAGACATTCCATAATTTGATTATGCATATAATTAATTCAAAAGTACCACGTGAAAATGTTCATTCAGCACAGCCATACGAAAAAAAAAAATAGTAGCAACAGACACAAGTAGTTCAACCACATTTTTTGATGGCTTCTATACCACAAAGTAGATTTCACATGTTTATTTTAAGTTCATATATTTTACATAGCTTTATGAACATCCCTGGAGCTATATTATACCAACAAATTATATTGCCTATATAACATAACATCTTTGTGAAAAATAATTCACTTTCAATTAACATAGTGGGATTTCTGAAAAACCTGTATTTTGTACAAAAGCATTTTTTAAAAAAAAGTCTCTTACAAGTAACTGTATATTTTGAGTTACAAACCATACATATACATACATTTCACAAAAAACAAGAAAGCACAGCTAATTCTTCATTGTAACATATGTTCCTAGCAATGTTATACAGGATGCTACCAAATGTGTGACAAAGATTTATAAGTCAGTATCTTTTTAAAACATGAAAGGCTTCATTTAAAATGGGTCACAACCATAGCTGAAGATGATGTTCAGGATAACTAGCACATCCTCAAATATATCTGCCTTTGTTCTGCCTGAAATATTTACTTTTAAGCAATGCTGTGGAAACAGACCTGCATTTTAAAAGATACATCTAGTTGATGCATCTATGGATACTCAAGAAAATCATACCAAACTCAAATAATCTTTTTACAATCTAAGGCATTTCTACAGGCTCCATTAAAAAAGGAAGGTAAAAATTAAAAGGAAGGAAAGGCAATGTAGGAGAAACTGTTGACATGTGAAAAATCCTGTCATTTGCTTTCTCTTTCCTTTTTTAAAAAAAGTATTCTGTTCAAGTTAATGCAAAGGGGAGAGGGATTATTATTTAACCATGAAGGGATGAAAGGGTTAACTGTAAAATACACGTCAAGATTTTAATAAGGATTAATAATAAAAAGCCTCAGCCTGCCGCTTTCACTAGATTTTGTTGTGGTGGCTTTTCCCTTGCTTAGGGCAATCCATCTGTTAATTTTGACTTGCAATGCAGTTAAGCTCTTCCTTCTTATTCTCCCTCTCCCGCCTCTGCACACCCACAACCAAACAGACTAGAATAGCTATGAGGAGGCTGGCACATGTCTTACAGAAATAGAACAATTCTTTTCAGAATCTCTTAGGTGAAGATCAGTTGTGCTGTCATGGTGTGGGATCTCTTCCCTGTTGCACACAGAAAGCAATCTGGTGTACGTACAATGGAGAAGTTAGTACAATGAAACCCTTGGCAATACAGTTATTTATGCCTATTTTATGTGCATGTGTAAAATCTATGCATATTTTAATGCACTGATTTTTGAGCTCTAGCGTTGAATGGGTGAAATGTAAAAAAAAAAGCAGTTGATCTTGGCTGTGACAGAGATTAGTAAATATTCATTGTTAACAACTGATCTGCACTCTGACCAATGCCAATATTCTCACTGGGCCAAACTAGCCTTGTTTTCAATAAAAGCAGTGAAGTACCCTCTCCCTTGAGCCCTGTTAGACTGACGCTGCAGTTGGAACTGTCATCTTCACACAAAAGCAAAGGGGCTGGGCTTTACAAATGCAAAGCCTAATTGGGAGATCTCCATGTCTGTACCCTTGACATTTATTTAAACCTCATCAAAAAAATAGGAAATAACCAAACTAATTAGCAGACTGGCATACAAACTATTATTTGTTGGGGTAGAAAGCATATTCATATTCAGCTCTAGAAAACGACAATATTACTAATGACAATGTCAAAAACAGCATTAATATGATCTTCCAGCAGGAAGATGAGTTTGATTTTTATGCACTGTTTTATAAGGGCAACATACTGGCCCTAAATTACTAATATATTTTTTTAATTTGAACTAATATAAAGGGAGAAATACTGTGCCTTGAAATCCAATTGCAGAGACAGGTCTACATAAAAAAATGTACAGTATGTACTTTTATAGAGTCTATATAGGTAAATTTTGCAGTAGAACTATTAAAATGTGAATAGAATTCTACATTAGGATAAGTGACACAAATACATTAATTAGTAATTGATATATGCAATAGAATAAACAGATCATTAAACTAGCTACATTACTTTAGTAATACAATCTACTGATCATTAGCTAGTACCTAAAATCTGAGTAGTTTTATATAAGTTCTAGCATATACTGCTCTAATCTATAAATTGCTCACAATCTATCCATGTCAATCATCTTATTCTGGAAGCATTTTGCTCTCAGTATTAATGTAACATGCACTGGTTCCATTTTTAAACAATTAATGATTGAAGTGCTGGAAACAGACTGGAAAATAGATAAATAATTTTTCATGGATATAAGGGGCATATAGAAATAAATCCATGTGAAAATCCAAATTAAACCTAGAAATTGTTTCTTATGTCTATAGAAGACAGCTGTATATTTAAAATATACAACTTGCCATTTCCGTTTATACAACATAGTGAATGTGCTAGAAAATGGCATGCTAGTTGTCACAATGCTTAAAAGTGTTAACTATACATCTGTACTTTTTACATGTATTATTTGCTTTCTCAGTTTTCAATATTTTACATATTTATAGAACTAGATTTCTAAAAAACATGATATAGTGTATTTTTACTGACACCAAAAAATCTATAGATGCAGAAGTCTGCCCACTAAGGATTAAAAAAAAACCTTTTACAGTAGATATAAACAACTTGCTTAGTTAAAATTCTAATATGTCTACATTTGAGTTCATTGTTTTTGGACTAAGAATTTGATAGGAAGCTCTACCTGCTCTACCTGTCATTGAGCCTAATCCCATGCTCTGATGCTGCTAGATATACATATGAAAATCCTACAGGAGTTTTACAAATATTCTAAAGCTTTAAAAGATATATATATTTTGGCAGGCTATTCCAAAATTCATCAACTATCAAAAATCAAAGGGTCAAATTTTTCATCTTCATATTTCTTAAAGTGAAGGATACTCTTTTTCAGTACTTAGATTACATTAAAATAAATTTTGTCACCATGTATATATAAATACAGTATTTACCACACTTTAGAAATTCATGGTAATGTTGAATAGGAATTACCCTTAATATAGTTACTCTCTGCAAATGGTGTAACACAACCTTCCATGTCCTAGGCTAATATAATTCTAGCCTTTACAGAGGAAACATTTCTTTAAAAGCACACAGTAATTAGGTAAATTACATTTTTATTGCAGTTTCTTTTATTTATTTGTTTGTTTAAATTTACCTATTGCCCAACTCTGAAAGCCAACTCCATTATTAAACAATCAATTCACCTTTATTTATAAGGTGAATGCCAGCTTGGATACATTTGAGGTAGGTAGGCTACTAATGACTTGTAGTGGGCAGTGTGTATGTGTGTGTGTGTGTGTGTGTGTGTGTGTGTTTTAAGCAATGTTTTGTGGACCTTTGGGCACATTTGCAATTTTGAGAACATTTCTCAATGTCTACAAAGGAGTAGTCTATTTATTTTTAAATGCATTAACAGAAGAAAACAGGTGAGAATGTTTCCAACAATACTTTATAACATCTGTTACTTTTGCCTACTTATTGAGCTTGTAGACAAATTTTAAAACTATCTATCTACTGTTTTTATTTTCTAGACTTGTCTATTTGACTCATGTGAGACTCAGATACATTCATGTAAATAAAAATAATGCTAAAACATGCTTTGGAGAAAGCCAGCTTCCCATTTTATGTTTTATTAGCAGGTCAGGGAACAAGGATCAATAGAGGGTTCACAATGCTTATTACTGCTGTACATTCCATATCTTGATTAACAAGTATCTTGTGTTTGTTAACAATATCCAAAGGGAAAACATTTTTAATTACCTGTGCAAGTCGCCTTTTTTCTGTGTTCTCTCTTGGAGAATTATGAAAGGTACAGAATGGAGCATATTGTGAAAAACCTGAGCTACAAATTCCATAGCCATCTTCTCTTTCCTACAGAGAAAATTAAGACTGAAAAACATTTGTGACTACACATTTCTATATCAAGTTAAACACATACCCACCATTAAAAAAATTGTTAACTAAAAGATTTAAATGCTGGAGCAACAACTACCATATCATTTTTAAATATGATGATGCTATCAAGTAAAAGAAAATTCCTTTTGTACATTTAAGCCTTGCTACCTGAGGAGAAAGTGAAATAGTGCTCAAACTTCTTGATTTAAAAATGAATATTTTTATGAATGTATAATACACTGAATATATGGAGTCTTGATATGATGCCTCTCATACTTTTAAATCATACCCTTGGAAGGATTAGGGTGCTAAAATAATGCCACCATTTACTGAACCAATGAAACCTAAACAGACAACAATTCCTGCTGAATTATATTTCTCTAGTAAAAGTCACTTGCCTTAAATTCTCAGCTAGAAGCAAAGGCTTCAATTGTGACATCAAAGTAATCAGCTTTATGAAAACATACATCCTGTTAATAGATCTTTGAAGACTTCTGTTTTTTTCATGATAAATATGCAAACAATAAAGAGATTATTCAAGTAGATGCACAGAATGACAGAGAGTTGCCAGAGGGCTTGTTATAAAAAATGCATTGTTGAACAAAGGGCTAAGCATATTTCAAAAGTCATTAAAAACACAAATCTTGTGGGATTCATAAGGTATATACTTCAAACTGAAGCAAGAAACAAGGTAAGAAAGTACAAATTTTGCCACATACCTTGTGTTTCAACTTACTCTTCACCTCTTTTATTCCCTGTTTTGCATGATTTTTTGCCTGGAGGAAAGAAGAGGAAGGGAAAAAAACTGTTATCTGCAAAACAAGGGTTTGATACTGTCCTAGATGAAGTCAAGTAGAATTTAAAATTAAAATTTTCGCATTATGTGGTGTAACAAAAAGAAATCACTTTGTTAATTTCATACCGGATTGCTAACAAGGTGTGCATTAAGGTGTGCATTAATTGCTAAACTGTGCATTAAGAAATGGATTGTGGCATAGGCATTATTGTTATCAAAACACACTTTAAATTGGTATTTCTTTAATGTAACATTCTTATGAAATGGTGTATCTGTAAAAATAAATCTTAGTTTGGCCACAAGTTGAATAGGAAAAAAGCTCAGGCAATAATATTCCAATCTAGCTCTTTTTATATGCAGAGCCATGTCAAAATGTTGTGTTCTTCATAGTTACTATTATTAGATTTACACTAAAGTTTCATGCCATCTCTTCACATCAGCCTGAATAAAAATGACAATTATAGTTCGCTTTTTATAACAGTGAAATAGTCATTCTACAAGCAAAAGAATTGTAAAGAAGTGTGTTTTTTCTTTCAGAGGCAATTCTAACTTTAAAGAGGGACAAATTGTGTTTCAATTCACTTTATTATTCAAATTCAAATTCTTGCAACTCATTCTTCAAACAACTACAATAGTTGGCTATTTTTCTATCAAAACTAAAAGCCAAATTAAAGATAATGAAGCTATTGTTGCTATTTCCAATATATCCGTTACTTACGAGATTATGAATTGGTCTTTATATTTGCAAACTACTCTCCTTAGGACCTAAACTAAATAGAAAATGCGCCTAAATACAAATCTAATTTAGGATGAACTATACAGGAAAAACAACCAGCAGTCGATGACTCACACATGAATTTTAGCCTCCTTGTACTGTTCTCACCAAGCCCCTGCAATTCCCCCCCAACTGTGCATTGCTAAGCTCTGTTTTCTCTCCTAACTCATATTCCTTGTAGCATGTAAAGGCAAAAAAAAAAAAAATGGGCGGTAGGGGCAGGGGAATGGAGTAAACATTGGATATTTTTAAAATGTTTGCATGCAGTGTAGATAATCATATCCTCTAACTGCACACTCAGCTATAAAAGGTCTCTAAACTTCATTGTTTTCAGCAGACTAATTTACATTTCAACAGTATAGTATACACAGATTGAATGTCTCCCAATAGAAAGCATGAAGTTTTCTCCAGCAAGTGCATATTAAATATGCAGGTGTCGCTTGACTTCAGTATTTTTTTTTTTTAATTTGATTTATATGCCGCCCTTCTCCGAAGACTCAGGGCGGCTTACAATGTGCTCAGCAATTTGTGACAAGTATATATACATGTGTGTATGGTATGTATGTATGTTTAGTTGGAGTATGTACAAAGGAACCTTCACCATTAATTGCTTAGGTGAGAATACTATGATATTCACCATACTTGATTTTCCATTGGCATCTGGACAGTATGTCTTTGAAGCTATTATTTTATCTATTCACATTTCTGCAAACTCATGACAGGACACCAAGATGGAAACTAGAAACTAAGATGTTCCTTATTAAACCAGTGAAATGCCCAGAAGATGTTACCAATGGGACGGTACATAGGCAATTTTTCCAGGATTCTCTTCAAAAATTTAAGTCAGCAGTGAATACTGGAACAGATTCATCATTACAAGATTATAATGATCAAAATAAGACAGAAACCCAGTGGTGAGAAAAGAGAGCAATTTTTTTTACTATTCCATTAAAGAACTGTATATAAGTTATAAATGAACACATGAATTCACAGTACTTTTAATGTATTTACCTGAAATATGGCTTCAGTGTGATTTTGAATGATGTAAATTTAAAAATTATCTTTTGAAAATGAAAGTAGGAAGTGATTCATTTATTCATGATTGAAGCTCAAAGGAAGGAAGCAATTTTCAGACATCTCCCTGGTTTTGGTTCTCAGTGTTTCTTCACCCATAGCATCTTCCCAACACTAAGATAATTTTCATGTATTAAGGAAACAGGTTGTAGTGTGATGTAGTGATTAAAATGTTGGAATAGCATCAGGGAGACTAGGGTTTAAATTCACCAATCAGATAACTCTTCAGTGTTAAGTATCCAGATTATACCCATCTGGAACAACCTCAGGGATGAAATTGGATATTACTACAGTACTCACAAGATAATATAAAGTCACTGTATAATGTTTAGATTCACCACACTCTGATTCAAGTTCAGAATAGTGTGGTCTATTAACTGGACCTTAGAAGTGTTACTAAATCAAATTGCTAGTGCATATCCTTAAGCAATATATACAAGAAAACTCATTTATTTGTTAATGTGCACAAGTTCACACTGATCCCTCATTCAACAAATACTCTTTCAGTGTGGTCCATTAAATTATTAGTCATTGCTCTACAATTTGTTGACTCATTGCTGCCCAATCCTTTGAAGCCGTTATTGGCATAATAAAATTATTAATTTAAATATGTTTCTTGCAAATCATGAACTCTGTACTGGATCATTTAATTGTGAATCAAATTCCCTTTTATCAAACTCAAATCAATATCCCAAACCTTGGTTTGACAAACTCTAAGCCTTAGCCAAGGTCATGGTAATTTCAATTTACCAAAATACCCAATTCTGTAATGATTCTTCTTTCTGAGAAATATTTATTCATCAAAGAATACAAAAGGAATTGAAAGAGAAAAAACAGTCACTAACTAGTGAATTAGCATAGGTTTCAACAAGAAGTACAAAATAAAGTTATGTGTTCTGGTGTCTTGTCTTGCTCGTCAGTTAAATCCAGCTTTAGTGTCAACAAAGTCTTCCTAGGGACCAAATACTTTCATGATTTAATGAGAGGTCCATTTGGTGGTAACTTTCATAGGCCTCTATTATCTGATCCACTCCTGAATAACCCTCAATTTTATAAACATATATTCAAAAATTAATTTATTTGGTAAACCCTAAGGTAAAGAGATTTGATCTCGTAGAATTATTGAAAATAATTCCTAACTGTTAGGCTTCTGCATTATTTTGTTCACTGCTAATAACAACTCACTATTAGTTCCTAAGAGGTGGGTGAACTCTATCACTCCCAATATATATAAGAAAGATAATAGGCACAATCCTGTCAACAATTAGTCAATCGGCCTTTTGCCAATAATTGGCAATTGTTATGCCAGATTTCTCTATTATAAACTTTTAGACTGGATGAACCTGGAAAACATCTTGCCCCCCCCCCCCCCCAATAGGCAGGTTTCAGCCCTCATAAAAGTATCCTCATCTTGCTTTGATGGAGATTCTGTTCCTCACTGGAAACTTTAGAAGAAATTAGTCACAATACCCATTGACTACCACCTTTTCAGGCTGATAATTTTTTAAATTAAAATACTATCACAGAAATTAGTGACAATTATAATGACCTATCCACATTTCCCCTACTTTTAAAAGGAGATAAACAGGGATTTATTTATTAATTACCTTTAATATATTAATGACACCATTGTGACCCTTTCTAAGCTGGAACTTCATTCTACTAAGCTGGGACTTCATTCTACAACTCTAGTTATTTGATCTATCTCTATTTATTTTTATGTAGATGATGTAACTATTTTATCTGTAATTTAAGTGGGCCTTGATAGTTGCCAAGTTCCTTTACTGATCTACTGCTCTAGGGAATTTCTTGAAATTATTTATTTATTTAATTAATTGTTTTTTATTGAATTAATTGTTTAAGAACTAAATAAAGCTATTTAGTTTAGATAAATAAAACTATTTAGAAACTTCTTTAAAAAGTACTTTAAAATTCCTGATCAGATGGAGAATTTTAAAAAGACCAGTTAACCAGGTAAAGAACTTCAAATATCTAGGCAACCATTCTGAACCTTCCAGCTGCTGCAATAAACAACTGAGCTCTATATAGGAGCCCAGAAAGCCTCTGATGTGATCCTTAAATGTGTAAGCCATCCAAGCAATAATCACATTTAAATTAAATAGATCTAAGGAGCTTGGTACCTAGCTGTGATGCCCAGCTGTATGTTTGTTAAGGATGCTTTGACTTTGGAAGCTATCCAGTTTATTTCTTAATTTTATTTTATTTTTAGGAGCTAAATTTTGGATTCTTGCTCAACCTCAAATGCCCTACTTGGTTAGAGTTTGGCTGCAACTCTTCTGAGCCATACCTAAAATTTCAGTATCTTATAGTTTTACTTGAAACAACTTTTCAGGGAAGCATCATCCTTAGTTCACCTTATTCTACTAAGTAGATTTTCTTATGTCCTGGCTATATAATATCTTGACCCAGATAAGGCCTTGACTGAACTTCAAAGGACGATCTGGAATTTTAAACCTCCAAAATGGCAGGATTAAAGTTACTTCTATTGTGGTACAATTGCTGAGTCCCTTTCGGATGATCTCTAGATACTTCCAGAACATCTTACATATTCCGCACAGGAAAAATAAATATTTGGTCCATTAAATCACTAGTCTCCCACATGGAAATTTCATTTGTGCATGGATCAAATCAGTAATACTGCTACTGTAAAATCCCCCATTTTATCACCATGCTGTCTGGAATTTATAAACCTAAACCTAGTGAACCACTACTTATGAGTCAGATGTCTTAAGTTTAAAAAAGCCTTTAAAATGCTCCTCTTTTCAAAATGGAGGCGTTAAATCAGAACTTGATACTGATTAATGGTATCAAATTAGGTAGTGCTGGATGTTTTGAGATAATTTTAATTGTTAAAGTATTGTTATTTTAGTATTATTATATTGTGATTTTTTTAAAGTTTTGTTTGTGGGAAGCTCAGGTATAAACACTTACCAAATAAAAATAGTACCACTATTTCTATTATTATTACTACTACTGCAACAACTCCTCCCCTCCTAGAAGAGGGGAGAATCTTAGCACAAAGAACTGGTAAACTGAAGGAGTTTTCACCTTTAGATTCAGTCACTGTATGGGTGGTTCTGCAAACAAGACATAATGAGTAGATTGACATCACTCTCACTAAACCTAATGTGTTTGATTTTGGCTTTCAGTGACTTAAACTCTTCACTGAGAATTATAAACCATGATTATAATTTCATAAATTGTTCAAATTACGGTTAAAGCAAACAACATATTAGTATAATATAGAGTTAGAGCAAATATTCTATAGCATCCTGAAAGAAAGGAGAATACAGGTAGTCCTCAACTTACAACCATTCATTTAGTGACCATTTGAAGTTACAATGGGCACTGAAAAAAGCGATTCAATCATTTTCACACTTATGACCACTGCAGTATCCTCATGTTCACGTGATCAAAATTCGGATACTTGGCAACTTGCATTTATAATGGTTGCAATGTGCCAGGGGTCATGTGATGATCTTTTGTGACCTTCTGACAAGCTAAGTCATTGGGGAAGCCCGATTCACTTAACAACCTTGTTATGGACTTAACTGCAGTGATTAACTTAACAACTGTGACAAGGAAGATCATAAAATGGAGCAAAATTCACTTAACAACTGTTTTGCTTAGCAATGGAAATATAGGGCTCAATTGGGGTTGTAAGTTGAGGACTAGCTGTACATACAGATCTGTAAAAGTGCAACAGGAAAAGAATAGTTCTTACATATTGGTATGCTGTTTTCACAGCTGGAGTAGCTTTGTTCACTGCTGTGTTGATCAAGGCTCCTCCTTTCTGAAATACAATATACATATACACACATAGACAGAGATTCTGATGCACGGAAAACAGAGTTTAATTCTAAATTTAAATAACATGTTTAGTTTCTAAAGGAAAATCCACACCTCTGGTTAATTTAAATTACAACCCTTAGCATGACCCCGAATATGCCACTTCTACAGCTGCCTTTCGTCTAGCTTTGTCTAGTACCACCCAGAGTTTACAATACATCATTTCTATGGCTGACACATTTATCAGTGTACTCTAATGTACTCATGTAGGGCACAATCCACTAGGAAATTGTCTTTCATAATGTTCTGATTATAGAAATGGGTGTTTTGCATGAGAGATTTGCACTGATCACTGCATGTATACACTTGTATATATTGCACAAATTCTGAGCAATCTTTCTGCACGTTCCTAAATAAGATTACATTCACATGGTGATACTTTTTGCACTGCAAGATATACTCCAGTCTCCTGACATGTTGTCATACCTTCACAGTATGCATCCACTGATGGTATGTTCTTAAATTTCCTTTAAAAAAATGTAAATTAAAGGGAAACAAAGATTAGAACCATTTTTGCTAGACTTTTATGCATAATCTTCATAGCACATTAAATTCAGGTTCACAACGAACATAAGAGTTTTACAGTTCTTATCTTCACAGAACATCAGATTGTATTATTTTATCTGACAAAATATATTGCTGATATGAACAGAATTTTAAAAACGTGGTAAATTTAGAATTAGAATCAGAATAGAGCTGGAAGAGATCTTGGAGGACTTCTAGTTCAGCCCCCTACTCAAGTAGGAGATCTTATACAATTTGAGACAAATGACTGTCCAGTCACAACATCTGAAGGTTATACACACACACACACACACACACACAAATATATATATGTATTATATCAGGGTATAATATAATACTACACTTTCTACAGTCTTACAGTTGAACAAAATTTTGCAAGGGGGGGAGAAGAGCAAATCAATGTGTGTTCAATAGTATTACTCTAATAAATTATTCATAATGGTCAGGGGAAATTGGATTCCATAAAAGGTAGCACTGCTATTTATTTTGCAGTCGAAATACATTTAAAAGTTAGCAGAACAAGTAAATGTGGATTTAATTTTAAAACCATTATTAATTTTAAGATAGTATGAGGAATGATAGTTGCTATCAATTCCTAGCCAATGGCTTCTCATAGAAGATATGGGTTTTATAACAGTTTCTAAAGCCTCTTAAACTCGGCAATACAATGAGGCATCTTGTAATGAAGCATTTTGATTTGTTCATATACATCACTACGCTGAAGAGCTAGTCTGGGTGCTGGCAATTCAAAGTGTTAGTTCTTACCTTTAAAGCCTTTCATGTCTCAAGACTTGGGTATCTGAAGGAGAGCCAACTCTATCTGTTCCCAATAAGAACTGGTAGAGGGACTCCCTCTGCAGGGATTGCCATCTTCAAAAGGATCATAAAATTGATGTTCTCAATCACTACCCACTTCTATGGAACAGATTTCCTCTGGAAATTTAAAAAAAACCCTTCCTGATTGATTTTTAGGAAAGCCATTAAAAGTTGGCTATTCTAGCAGGTCCTGGAGGTTGAAACATTTTAATGTTCCTTCTGGCTTTGGAGGAATTGTCTAATGTAATTTATATTGCTGATGTTTGTAAAAGTACCCTAAACCTAACATTGCTCATCCAAAAAAGAATAACATGATGAATATATGCATATATGTATGGACATGTATTCAAATCAAGCTTGACAAGCTCCTGCAGGTTTTTGGGTAATATTTTTGGAAATGGTTAGCTGTTTCTTTTGTCCTAAGGTTGAGAGTGATTAGCCGAAAGTCTTCCAGCTGACTTTGTACCTAAAGTGAGGTTAGACCTCATGATCTTTGTTTCTAGCCTGGTGCCGTAATCACTGTATAAAATTGGCTCGTATACAATTACTAAAGCATTTTCATTTAAAACTGCAGATACTTGCATAAAATTTGTACATGTAATTTTGAGAAAAGGAAGATGAACAAGTAAGTCTGAAGTCTTTCTGCCTCTGTCATTTTTAATTAACCATTATATTCAGTTCTATCAATTTGCCGTAATAATGTTTATGATATCATATGAAGCTGAAGTTATAAACCTTCATAGCAATACATATTGAACACACAGAAGTACAATTAAAGAGACATAAATTTTAAAAAACATTTAATTCAATAAGAAGATTTTAAATCAAGCCTCAATTATGCTTTTAGGTATTAAAAGAATTGGCATTAATTAATAGGAGCAATTTCACATCAGGCATATAGGTAACACTTTATTACAATCATAGACTAATTTCACCACACAACCATAAGAATGAGTGTTTACTTTATTCATTATTATTTTTTCATTCTAACTATTCAAATATCACATTAGTTGCTTTAACTTTTGATATATATGTTGAAAACTGCAATATTTGAAATAAAAATACAAACAATTTAGTAAAATATCAGTAAGATCATATATAACACGTATTTTATACAAACGTTTGTTCATATCCTATACAAAAGGATCATAACTGTCAATCAAGAATTTTTTTAATTTTTTTTGGATATTTAGCAACATTGAATCTGAATAGTATTTCTATTTCAGTATTTAATCAAAAACTCTATCCACGGTCATAATGCTAAAAACCAATTTAAATAGTATTGTCATTTTTCACTATTTTAATCAATGCAGGAGAAATGAAAGAAAAGGTAGGTTGTGATTAGTGTGAGTTTGAATAATGTGATATTTGATTTAATAAGAATTGTAAATTGATACCAGGTTGTGTTTAATATGACCCAAAATTCACTTAATGAAAGGCTAGCGCAAACTTAATTGAAGCTATTACATATGCAATTGCGTTTGGGTTTTTAGATGCTGCTAATCTTCATGTGTGCAAAATGGAGAAAGGGAAGGTTCTGTCAGAAGAAAAGAGGGCAAGTTTTAAAAAGAAGAGCCCTGTTATTACCTTAGAGTGAAAATTTGGTGTAATTGAATTACAATATATGAATGCCATCATAGCAACATTAAAATTTGGATGAGATGTTGGTATGCTTGAATCTCTGGTAGACTTTTTTTTTTTTAATTTTGCTTTCTATAACTACTCTGTGACTTTGTATTAACCATACATTTAAATTACAAGTATATTCTTTTTATCCTTTACTGTAATAATTCATATATAAAATATATAAAATTTTTCATTGCCTATTTCCTTTGAGCTGGAACCAATTACCATATTTTCTATAGAAATATTACTTCAAATAGTGCAAATTTGAATAATGTCACCATTTCATGGGATTCATTAGCTGTCCTAATCAAAACCTACATGTAGTCAAGAAGTAGAAAAGTATATATCTACCTCCACTTCCTGATGAGATTTCTTCTTCAAATATATCGGAGAATCCTTTTCCTGCATTTAGCTTTGCAAGTCGACCTTCAATAAACTGCAATAAAGTGTGTATCAAAGCTGTAATAACTTTGTTAAGAAAACTGTATAAAATGTAATTTTATTAGCTGCTCTACAAAGTACTAGAAATTTAGAGAGGTCACGCCTACTTCCATTTCATTACATAATCACCTGCCCATCCATCGTTCACTATTATCTTTATTCTTCATAGCTTTTAAAACTGAATTTGGGAAGGGGAAAGGATGATTTGAAACTTAATTAAGGTAACACTTGTACCCTGTTTCCCCCAAAATAAGACATCCCCTGATAATAAGCCCAATCGGGCTTTTGAGCGCATGGCAATAAGACCAAGTGCTTATTTCAAAATAAGTTTTTTTAAATTGTGAAAATAAGTTTGGGGGGGGGATTTATCAGCTTGAAATCAATGTCTAAAATCTCTATTTTTCTGTTAAACCACTGAATTATTCTAAATTCACTGTTTGAATTTCTCCAAAGAGCATACAATTCTAGCCTACTTAATATTGGTTAGAAAGGAAACTACTTTCTTTAAATAACTCCTAGATTTCATACTATGCTTATATACCAATTCATAGAAACTGTCTTAACAGCAGGGTCTGTAATTATAACAACAAATTGTGCTTGAAACTTCCTTAAGTGTTAACAAAGTACTATCAATGAAAAGGATAGTAGAGTAAAATAACTTGGAAAGAAATAAAAACTAACTTCTTTCACCCACATGCTGCTTTTTACAAAGCAAAAACTTTAATCTCCTTATTACTTAGAAGAATTCCACACATGTATGGAATGCAAAAGTGGAGGAAATGCACAAATACCATTTTATACTGTACAAAACAAGCAAAGACGTTAATGTTTGTCATTTGTACCAACCATATTCTACTGAAATTAATTTTCCATTCAAACACTTTTTAAGGAAAATCTCTAATTACACTGGTATAAATTCAGTTCATAAATTCTGTACAATTCACTGCCTGAGAATTTATATTAGTAGATGGCAGCTTTTTTGACCTGATAGATTTAGAACCTTGTGAGCATAAAAGGCTAATACAATGGGCACAACCAATCCCAAAACAGAAGGAACTGGGGAGATTGATTTTTTTTTGAATCTCCTCTATACTTCCTGAAGGTTCATTAGTCAGAAGACTAACTTCTTTTACACATGGTGCTGGATTACAGTCACCCATAATTTTTCTTCTTTTGTGAAACTTAGTTTTAAAACAATCTTTTAAAAAATTAAAGTTCTATGGGACAGAGAGACATAAGGATATTGAGGGAAGCATACACAGGAACTTCATAACATTTAGCTGTAATTTCTATAAAATGATCTTAATGTATTTAATCAGGAAAGCAGAATTGTGACCAGATAAATTGCTATTCAAATAAGAATATCACATTAAGTGATAGTTATGCTTTATATTAAGACCACACCTACAATATTGCATCCAATTCTGGTCACCATGATACAAAAAATGTTAAACCCCTAGAAAGAGTGCAGAGAAGAGCAACGAACATAGTAATAGCAAGACTTATATACCACTTCACAGTGCTTTACAGCCCTCTCTAAGTGGCTTACAGAGTCACCCAACAATCTGGGTCCTCATTCTACCCACTTCGAAAGGATGGAAGGCTGAGTCAACCTTGAGCCTGGTGAGATTCAATCTGCCAAACTGCTGGCAGCTAGCGATCAGCAGAAGTAGCCTGCAATAGTGTACTCTAACCACTGCGCCACCGCAGCTCAGTGTTAAGGGGTCTGGAGGCTAAACTATATGATGAATGATTAAGGGAACTAAGTATGTTTAGTCTAACAAACAGGAGTAGGGGTGATATTATAGCAGTCTTCCAGTGCTTGAGGGACTGTCACAGAAAAAAGGGGGTCAATTTATTCTCTAAAGCACCGGGGGACAGGACAAGAAGTAAAGGGTGGAAGATCATTAAAGAGAGATCCAACCTAAGGACTAATTTCCTGACAGTGAGACCAATTTATCAGTGGAACAGTTTGCCTCCAGAAGTTGTGGGTGCTCATTGGAAGTTTTCAAGAAGATCCTGAACAGCCATTTGTCTGGAATGGTATACAATCTCCTGCCCAACTAGAAGTCCTTCAAGCTTTATTATTCTATGTTCTAAAATAAAGATTAACTCATAATATAGGATATTATAATATATATTGTAAGTTATATAATAACTATACAAATATTGGACTTTTTATAGAGCTTTATTTTTATAAAATGTTTATGAAATCCTACCTATTGTATGTACTGAAAAAGAAAATGTTTATTAAATGATCATTTTTAATCCCTTCCATTTGCTGAGAGGACTAAAATACAAGATCTATGTGCATTTCTTTCCTCTCGCAATAAAATTCTTTTTTCATTTTTTTATTCATCATTGTAAAATTAAAACCAATGGTTACTGCTAATAATTTTAAACAATGGTTGCAATCAATAGAAGTTAATATTTATTTATTTATTTATTTATTTATTTATTTTTATTTTATTAAATTTCTATACTGCCCTTCTCCCGAAGGACTCAGGGCGGTGAACAGCCACAAGATAAAATACATAAATACAAAATTTAAAATACAATAAAAACGAATTAAATAATTTGGCTGAACAAATTTAAAATACCCCATAATTTAAAAACAAATTAAAATTTACATTTAAAAAGAGGAGAAGATTTAGGCCAGGCCAGCTTGATGAAATAAAAAAGTCTTAAATGCGCGACGGAAGGTGCGCAGATCCAAGATCCTCCGTATCTCCGGGGGGAGCTTGTTCCAGATCGTAGGTGCTCCCACAGAGAAGGCTCTCCCCCTAGGGGCCGCCAGTCGACATTGTTTGGCCAACGGCACATGGAGGAGCCCCTCTCTATGGAAGCGTACTGGCCGGTGGAAGGCTATTGGTGGTAGCAGGCGGTCCTGTAGATAACCAGGTCCTAAGCCATGGAGCACTTTAAAAGTGATAACCACAACCTTAAAGCGCACTTGGAAGACCACCGGGAGCCAGTGCAGCTCGCGCAGGAGAGGTGTTACATGGGAACTCCATTTATTAACCATTTATAATAGTTTGCCAATTTAAATCTCACCCCAAAACAGGTAGTGCTAAAAGAAATAAATTGATGTAAAAAAAAAAAAAAAAGCAAGTTTCTAATTCTCCATCCACCAACATCTCTGAACCTGGCTATACATAATCTGAAAAGAATAATTAAACCTTGTTAAAACTGCCAGGTTTAAATTATTGACAATCAGAATCTCAGTATAATTTTCAATGCAATAACAATGTATTGTAAAAACTCTAAATTTACATTAAATTTTCATAAAGCTAATATATATATATATATATATATATATATATATATATATATATATATATTTCTCAACTCTCCAAAAGTACACGCATTTTTAGGATATTTTCAAGAGGTAAATACTTCTTTGCCAAGATTAGGTAGCCAAAATATGAGATAAACAAAGAAATCATTTGACTGATTGCACATTTTCCAACATGAATACCAAATTGCTGCTAACTGAAATGGTACACGGGAGCCAATAAAAATTAATTATTTGGCTGACTGTCATATGCTATCACAGATTATCCAAACAGGCCTGTCAGTGACAATCTGATGCTTGTCAATGGATAGACTGATGACATGAAACAAACTGTTCCATGAATACATTTTTAAGAGGACTAGATAAAGGCAGACTCAGCAGTAGCAGCGAAGGACATGCTATCACTGATTATTTCCTCTTCTTCTTAGCTAACATTCTTCTCCCTCCACCCGCCCCTCAGCCTTAACCTGGCCCTTTTCCAAATGGGTTGGTTCATGGTCAGACCACGGTAAGGGATCACTGGATTATTTCACAGCAAGAATGAGATAAAGCACCTTTAACTATCACTGTGCAGAAAACATTCTTTGAGCCACAAAGCATTATCTATCTAGGGAGAGTTAAGAAATCATTCCTTGCCCTCATACCAAGCACATGATTTATGAACGTAAGATAAAAGAGTGTTAAGCATGAACTGAAAGGAGATATTTGTTTTGAGTTTAATCTTATACACGCAAAATGTTAATACAAATTTGGAGTTCATGAAAAATTAATAGCTGCATCATTAATTGTGTTTGGTGGATTTGTCAAATTTCACCAAGAGGGATGACAAACTAAACAAACAATACTCTTGCCCCATCCCCCTATTTTTTTCCTCACCTTAAGTAACATAGGTTTTATATATCTCTGCTTCAGTGTTATACCTACCGGTATTTACTGGGTATTGAATAAAAAACACAAATATGTCCTATTAACAATTCAGAGCACTGCCTAAAGAATAAAAGAGTTATTAATAATAAAATAAATTTATGTGTCAAATCAGGTTATATTTTAGTTTTGACCAGACTGGAATGGTTTCAGTGATTTTATCTTGAACAATTCATAGCACAGGGGCTTATAAAAATTGAACAGAGGTGCAAAAACTTGGTCAATCTTCTGCTCTTAACAGTATATACCGGATAAAGATTTCATCCATTTTTCATACACACATCATGTTTTCTATTCCAAATCAGATAAAGCAGTTTTCTCTCCTACCAGAAAAAATCATTTTCTGTTCGTAGACTTAGCAGTATGCAGCCATATACACACGTTATTACACCATCAGCAACTTCAGTAAAGCACATTTCCCAAAGTTTAAATAGTTAACCCTTTTCTTAGGTTACTAAATTATATATTCTCTATTAATGGCATTAAGTGAAGGAGATTGATCAGCTTACTTTTGTACTTATCCAAAATAGCTATTATTAGAAGTACATACATTCAAGGCTTTAGAGAAATTACATATATATATATATATGGTGAGTCATTCAAAGTTGGCTGAAACTAGTGAAATACGTATTTGTGTGCAATACTCAGTTTCAATTATCAACCAATTCTATTTGAGGCATTTTATATTCAATTAACAAGTCTAAGTGGACATCCCGATGCTGTGTGTAAGTTAGAAAGGTTAGAAATCTATGGTGTAATATGTAGAGCATACTTTTTACACACTGCTTTTGCTTCCTATTTGTATGATTACTAAGATTTCACTTTCCAAAACAAGTATTTCAGAATTACAATAATGCAAATGTCTGCCCTGCTGCTGTTTCACATATACCATCCATCCATCTGTCTCTCTCTTTGAACTTCTTTTCTGTTTAAAAAACAGTATTTGCCACTGAACCTAAAGCAACACTTTAAATTCAAATCTCTTATGACTCAAGTAACCTTGAAAAGTGTCTAATTACAAACAGGTCTTGGATCAGAGGCAGCTGGGAAGTGGAAGACAAGGAGGAGGAATTATATAAAATACTAAAAGGGCATGAAATAGTTTCAAAACATATTTCTTTCCCTATTGCAGAATAATAGGGAATTCTTTCCAATTAGAAATTGCACTTTTCACTTCTGCTGCCATAAATCTCTATACCAACCATTAAATTCCAAGAACAAAAACTTTTTTAAAAATGAAAGTTACCTAGCATCCTGTGAATTTCACTTATCTGTTTTGCACTATATCTTCAAAGAGAGCCAGAAGATTAGTTAAACATGGTGTGTGTGTGTGTGTGTGTGTGTGTGTGTGTGTGTGTGTGTGTGTCCACCAAAGGTTCTGGCTGTTTTAATCAGAGGAAATGTTTTCTATTTTGTGCTGGAGCTTGGACTGCAATGCTTATCCAATGCTTAGAATAAGCTTTTAGGACTGTTCCTATTTATATCATGTTGTTCTCTCTTCATCCAACAATGGTTTCCAACAGGCCAGCAGAGAAACTAATCTTCTGGCATCAATCAATGGCATGTGGCAGCAAATACCTACAATTGAAGTAGCCCTTCTAAACCCTTGTTATATGAAGACAGTTCAAAACTAAGATTTTTTCTCTCAGTTCCAGATACACAATTTGAGTTCTAGCTTTTGAGATTCATCAGACAAAACAGTTCTGAAATACTGCACTTTCACCCTTTCCTCTCCTCTGTAACAACAACAAGAGATAAGAAAGCATCCACTTCTAAAGAACAGAGGTTCCTCGTAACATCTGAACTATATAGGTTAGTTTTAAAAAAATGTTTGGAAATCACCCATGATCATAAGATATGACCTGATTCTGGATTGTCTGAACAAACAGAAATTCCCCTCAATATGATACATCAGAGTATTAAAAAGCTTCTAACTTTCCCCTCTGTGCAATGGGAACATGCATAATTTAAAAGACACATCCCTCTGGGCAATTAATGTCAAACTAAGATTTAGCTGTAACATCTGAAAAAAACCAACTGGAAATATGCCTGAATGGTATGGTCCTACTAAATTGATTTTCCATTTTAAAGAAAGTCAAAGTCAACTCTATGAGATAAAATATTGTTTTCTTTTCTTTTCTTTATTTATTGTATTACCCTGACAGCACTGTGTTCATCCATAAGAAAGCCTCTTAAATAATGCCAAAATTATTATATTATCCATGATTATAAGTATGAGCATGAAGGATCTGGGAGTAGACTCCTACTTCTGTTCTCCACATATGTTTGCAACATACTCACCTCACACAGCAAATTTCCTAGTTCTGAAGGAAGCCGTTTAAGAGACAATTTGGAAGCTAGCAGACCAGGGGCGGGTTTCAAAACCCATCGCTACTGGTTCACTCATTTCTGCATACGCAGAAGCATGTGGGTGGGTGGAGCCTCCTGCCGCCGCCACCGCTACCAGTTTGCCCGATCCGAGGCGAACTGGTAGCAACCCACCAATGTAGCAGACATTTGAAAATTGGACAACTTCTGCTCATTTTTATTAGTGTTAATCAGGATTAAATGCACATATTTATCCAAAACATTTTTATATAAAAACAGCTATTCATTGAATAAGAGGTTAAAATTATGATTGGTTAAAATTTACATGTATCAGAATAATTTATTAATAATTTCCCACATACAAGCCAGATTTGTTCTAGAGGATTAGAAAATCTGCCAACACAGATTTTGGATGCTCACAGGAGAGGAGTAGGGATGATTCTAAATAGAAATACAGTTAAATATATTGGAAGAAACCCAAGACCTTTTAATTGAAGCAGCTTTATTTCTTATTACCTCGAAGAGTTGTCACTAGAAAGAATCTTTTGGGATTATAATAGAAACGTACAATAATTTATCCTGGCTATATTCTGGTTTCTCCTCAGATCATAAAAATCCTTCACTACTTCAAAATTCAGAAACTGAATATTGATAATGTTGTATCCATTTCTCTGTCCCTGAATATGCATATGCTACATGCATTAGAATGGTATTAGGTCAAAAATCTTAGAAATACCTGTTTAAAAAGTTGGAGATTCACTGCAGTTTCCAGAAAATGTTTAGTAGAACTGGAACGATGCTTGATAAAGCTTTCCTCACAAAAAATGATAGGCTCTCCCTAAATTTGAAAAAGATAAGAAATATCCATTTTTGTAAACAATTCCATTTAACATTTCTTTGCAGTACACCAATTATTTTGCATATAGCAGTACTCACAATCAATACTTTTATACCTGGTAAATTTAACTTATTTTTCATGCTACAAAAAAATCCCTATGATAGACAGAATACTATTGTGTTTTAAATGTAAGGAAAATCAAATGCCCAAAATGAATTATTTTATAAAGCGTTTTTAAAATCATTATGCTCAGAAAAAAAACAGTCAATCAATAGATAATCATGGACACGAAAAAGGTTAGAAATAATTAACATCCATTTTAATTATTTAAAAAAAATCCATTACTTCAATTAAAAATTCATCTTTTCTGCAAGTGAAGGATCTTGTTTTATGGTTTGGGGAATATATCAGAAATACTGAAAAACTAAAAAAAATAAAAGCACATTTTCACAGCCACAAGTTGCCCTATGTGACCCAGTGGGTCTCTACTAAGCCTTTTTTTCCTTGTGATTCTGTAATAAAATATAGTGTGCCCAATAATCCAGAATGGATTATTCGAATTTTGATTATGCAAATTAGCTAAGGATTTTCCATAAAATCCTCATGTCTGTTTAATTCTCTGCTGGATACATTCACATTTAGATAATTTAATTATTCAGAAATGTTGAATATTCCCCAAATAGTTTATATAAATAGTACTATAGTAGATACTTTCTTTCAAAAGAATCCAGTTAAGGTTTATTTATTTTTAAGTCATAAAGCTAAACAAAACTGTGTATTATTCATGGGTTAAAAATAGAGTTAAAAATATTTAAGTTGGGTGCTCACATGCCAGAAAGAATCATACCGCAATATAATAGAAGCAAAGCTTAAAGGGTTGTTCAAAGTGATTTTCTAACACCACAAATGTAAAATTATATATTTGAACTCCTCCCTCAAGACTACTACCACTGCTATAATAATTTGAATAAAAACAATCAGAATACTTTTGTACCAGTCAACCAGAAACAAGTTCACCAATTCAGTTCAATAAGACTAGCATGAGAAAATTTGCATTGGACAATTCTCTTAGAATTAAAAACTGAGTCTTTAATTCCAAACTATTAAAAGTCAAAGATAATTTAGGGTTTTATGTATCGATCACCTTCTACAGTAAATCTGTATTAATTATGGACTGTTAATATCTGATGTATATTGCTACAGTACAAACGATTTGCTAGAATTCTTTATGAAAAGAATTGAATGAATTTTTCTGAAAATGAAATGAAAGACAGGAGTATTTTATGCCTATAATGTTTACACAACCCCCGAAACTTCAAAAATAAAGTAAGAACTACCTCAGGCTCTGGTAGATTGGATAGAAAATTAACAGATAACATGAATAATTTTAAGAAATGAAAAGGGCTATTTTAACAGAAGCTTGTTTGAACTAGTTTGAAACAGGCTAGTTACTAGTGCATACCTAGTACTTCCTCTAAATCCCATTAATTAACCATCATTGGGAACTATATTACTTCAATTTCCCAGAAACTCAAGTAATTCACTGACTCTATGTGGAGGTCTGTTTGAGATGAGTCATGGAAACTAAAACCAGTTGTAATTTAAATACTTAAAAGTAATTCAAAGATGTTACATATTAGGCACTTGCATAAAGTCCTATCTTTAAAGATTACTGTTCTCCTTTATTGTGTCCCCATAGACATCTTCAAGAAAAAAGCCAAGATTATGTACAAACAAACATTTACATACTACTAATATAATGGCAGTTTGTCATACTATAACCATCAAATCATTTCTCAATGCACTTTCCCCAAACATATTGGACTTGTTATATACATTGACTTTTAGTTTACATTTTGGTCTACAATTTTTTGGTACTACAATACAGAAAAAGAAAAAATACTACTGTAAGGGTCTTCCACACTGTGTCCTTCCTACTCCTTGATGGACATTTTCTTAATTCTTGATCCTACTGCTAAGATGCAAATACCTAAAAGAGGATTCTTCTAGGAGTGTCTGTACAAAGCTTGCTAAGGATCAGAAATCTGATTAGGATTAACTATTTCATAATCAAGTTGACCTTTTATGGTCTATTTGGATTACTGATAACAAATCATTATGATTTGATATGCAGCTTTTGGGATCAGAAATGCAAGTAAATACAAGAGAGAGGGGAAACAATTGGACTGCTGGATACCTTACATTGCTAGAGATAGGAATTCAATAGATCACAACTCATTCCCTGCATCTTGCACGCAGATCCTTTTGGCATATGTGAACCAGCAAAATTGCACAGGTCTTGAAACCATTATATCATCTTGGGATATTGCTACATAACACCTACACTTAGGGATTCACCTCCTTTGGAAAATAAAAGATCCAATTATGGTGTTTCTGACACATTTCATAATCATCTCCTGTAACTGCCTTTTTTATGTTAATAATCTTTTTTAGAAAAATGACCAACAGGAAATCACCACTCTATTAGTTTTCAATGTAATCACATCAAGCCAATTCAAAGGTTTAAAGTTTCCCTTTTCAAAGAGTTCATTCGTTTTCCTCTAACATGTCTAATGTTTCAAATATAGAACTAAAAGTCATTTGAAATTACAATAGTGGCCAAAATTGTGGAAACCGTTTGGGGAAAGTATATTTTTGAGGTTTGATGGCTAAAAACACCACTTTTTTTTTTTTTTTTTTTTTTTTTGGAGTTTCAAGATAATTATATTCTACTGCTGGAATGGCCTGGGAATAGCCCAGACCTTAACCCAATTGAAAATCTATGGAGCCGACTAAAGAAACTTGTTAGTCAGAAGCGACTCAGCAATAAAACCCAGTTAATAGAAGCAATCATTCAATCTTGGTTTCACATTATAACAGCTATAGAACTAAAAGACTTGGTTCATTCCATGGGAAGACGTTGTAAGGCTGTAATTCATGCTAAAGGTTACCCAACTAAGTATTAACTGACATGGTGCTAATTTTTGTATATCTTGTTTTTCCTACGTGTTTCACTTTTCTTCTTTATACTGTAACTGCTATTCTAATAGCGAATCCTTCATAAAAGTAATTGCATTACATTCTTGATTAAATTTTCTTTCCATTGATATATAATTTTATGGTACTACTCCCAAAAAAAGTGGTGTTACCGGTATTAGCTAGTTTTAGAAAATAAACTTTTCCCAAAAGGTTTCCACAATTTTGGCCATTACTGTACATGAGAATGGAAGTTGCAGAGCTCTTGAAGGCACAGTTTATTTTATCCCCATTTATCCCCATAAACAGTGGTTTAAAGCACCCTGTTATTAACACAGCTGCCTGCAATTACTGCAGGTTCGAATCTTACCAGGCTCAAGGTTGACTCAGCCTTCCATCCTTTCTAAGGTAGGTTAAATGAGGACCCAGTTTGTGGGGGCGATAAGCTGACTTTGTATAAATATACAAAAGTATGAAGGCTATTGCTTAACGCATTGTAAGCCACCCTGAGTCTCCGGAGAAGGGCGGCATATAAATCAAAATTTTTAAAAAAACAAAAAACTGTTAAACAGCAACTTGTCTTCTTCCTTAATCCAAGAATATTTCCACCAATTAATCCACCAATATTTCCAACATACTCTCAAAGTATATTTTTGATCAAGGTCTATTAGGGACTCTGCACTGAGGAGCTGACTGCTAATATTTTTAATATCAGACTGATTTTTTTTCCTTTTTGGCCAGACAATATATTTGTCTGCTTGATAACAGTTATTACAGAACTCTGTACATCCCCATCTCCTTTTCATGGGCTAGCAGGCACAGCAGGCCGCATTCTTTTTAAGCTCCATCCACATTTTAAACTAGCTGCTTAATATAATTGTAAATAACTTTTGACACACGAGCTCAGAATAAATCATTATCATGAGCATAAAATAAGTTAAATCCTATAATTATACTAAAAGCAAACGCAAAGCTGGCTCAGTAGATATCTTTGCTTTAAAAAGATAACAGTATGTATTATGATTCCTTTCATTCACAATTAGAACATGGTTTATAATAATTGCTTTATGAATTAGCTTACTTATGAATTTTGGTCTTTGACTAACATACCACAGTCAAATTGTTACAACTGGTATTCTTTAAGGGCATTTTACAAAGGTTGAATTTAGGTGAAATTCAATAAGATATTTAAGGGCCATTTTACAGTCACATGTACACTACAAACTTTGTGCTCACTGGCCAGAGTTCCATTAAAAGCAAAAGTTTAAAATACACAAAATAAAATGAATTTTAAAAAAACCATAATTACATTAAATTTTACAAACAGTAAAACAGAATTTGCCAATATTCAAAGAAACTGAGTCATATTAGTAAACTTATAATAGCTGCATTTAGAATGGATTTGAATGCCCTAGCAATTTACTTAAATTGTAAAACATACTATGAATCTTTATAAAATGGACATTGCAGCAAAACATTTTCACTTGTTCCTTTGCCACAAGGATAACTTTTAACAGAAATATATTCCCAGGATAGTGAGAGTATCTGACTAGGAAGATTTTCTGCCAGTCACAGAAGGTGGGGAAGGAAAAGAGGTGTTGTCTGAGAATCTTCCAGTAAGGCAAAATAGTTGGAGAATATATATCACACTTCCCATTTTTAAAGTCTCTGCTTTAATGAGTTATTCTAATCCTATTCATGACAGTCCTCATTTTTAGGTTAAAGTTAGTGGACGAAAAATGATGGCAAAAATATGCCCACATTTATTATGTACAAAACTTATCAAGAAAACAAGAGCAGTTAAAATCCAGTTGCTTATGTGAAATATTTTGGGAAGGGAAAAATTATGTGCGATAAATGTGTAATTCTTCATGATAAAGCAGGAAGAAGAAAAATACTGTAATACACTAAACAAATCACCTTTCTCAAAAACCATATCATTAAAAGATTATAAAGAACATAAACAACTAACTTGATTTATACTTCACTTTAAAAAATCTGGCAGCATTTCAGAAACCTAGCCAAGAAAAAGATAAAGCCATACAAAAGATACTGGAACCTCTGCAAGGGTGAAAACCACCCACCACTTAACTTGAAAAAAAAATAACAAGAGTTTTGTTTAAATAATACTAAGGCTTGGCAATTATAGTTTGAAAAATTGGAGAAATTTCAAAGCCAAAAAGAGTACCATCTTCTGTTTCAGTTATTTAATGTCCTATAGTATTAATGTCCAAGGATATGATGCAAGAAGGGATAATCTAAATCTTTAGATTAAGAGAAACTGGGTTAAGGAAATCTTAAGGGGCCATTTAGAAACTTTAACAACCAAGCTCTAAAAGGCTGTATGTTTTGTAAGGTGGGTAAAAGGCTACATACATTGGAAATATATTTGTAATATACATAATTAACATACTTTTAAAATACAATCTTATACATTTAAAATACAACTTGCCACAGCCAACTCACTGCGGCCAACTCACCACAGTCAACTAACCATGGCCAACTTGTCATGAGATAATTCACTGTGGGACAATTTAAAAATTCTATTTTATTATTTAAAATAAATAAAAAATTGTTTAATTTTTGCCATTCACATTTCATGCTGTCCCTGCTTTTGCATCCTTATTTTAATGATTCTATTTCACCATTTTATTTTAGTGTAATTTTTGTCCTGTGTTAAATTATGAAGTAACAATGTCATCAGAGATTCAACTTAAAAAGCACCATTTTACTGAAAGATAGTATGGTAAATGAAGATCATTCAGTGGTAAAGATATAAATTTCAGGACAGCTTATATTTACTGAACTAAAAGAGCTTTTAATTGCTGTATTTATGTATAATTTTAAAGAATGTTTCATATTCGTATCATGCATGTAAATATAGACTATTTATGCAGTTAATTAAAAAAACTAAAACAGTTGTTGTGTGAATAAAATAAAATAAAAAATAAAAATAAAAAATAAATAAAATAACCAACAACTGGGAGCTAAATAAATAAATTATATATGTTAGGAATAATACTGGCTTATTTACTGACATAATTCGGACTACATGAACTTCATTGCTGCAACCTGAAAATCAAAATCTGACATTGTATTCTCCACTCTTCAAGTGATTTATCCACTGACATTAGAAGTGAAACAAATGAAGAGGAAATTAAGCATTTTTAGAGCCAGTTTAGTTTAGGGATTAAGACACCAAACTAGAAACTGGGAAACCATGAGTGGCTTTAGGCATGAAAGCCTGCCGGGTGACACTGACTCTCACACAGAATTATTGTATGGAAAATAGGAGGAGGACTATTTATAAATGACTCACATTGGCAAACGTAGCTAATACGCCCGAGTCATTTACTTAAGTCATTTATAAAAATAATAAAGGTATATAATAAAAATTAAATAATAATTTTCTTCTTCATCTGATTACTGTATAATGCTTTCCAAAAATAACATGGCTCAACACGGGTGTTTTCTAACTGCAGTGAGATAGATAAAATTCAAATGTGCAAACATTCTTTAGAATTAGAAAATAGATCCCTGAATGATAAACGATAGCTTACAGGTTTGTATCTTAGTGCATCTCTGTAGGAACCAAACAAGGCCACCTGAGCTCTGAGGAACGCCCTGGCTACTCCATCACCAGTAGCTGTGGACTGCTTCTTCAGTTGATTTTTCAAGGCCGAGACCTGTGTTGACAGAGAAGAACAGTTAATTTAACACTTCAGAAATTGGTAAAGGGAGGTACAAACCTAATCAGCAGGCAAGCTCTGGTGTCTGCAGGTCAGCCAAAAAAATCATGCTCTTTCTTGATAGCTTATCTTTTTAACTGCAAAGTACACCTACTGATCTGTTAATTGAAATGAAAGCAGGGGATGCTGGTAAGTGCTAATGCAAATTGGTTTATGCTCTCTTTTTTTCCCAAGGCCTCTTGACATAAATAAGCTTTAATTATTTTACAGTAAGTATTGTGAGATTCTTTTTCTGTAGATTTCTTGCCACCATCACCATCATACTATGTGCTTGGGTGTCTCAGATAACGATGAATATATATCTTTCAGTTGAGTTACAAAATCTTTTAGTTTTTAAATTTAGCTTATCTCTTAGTGTAACCCCATTTATTCTGTGCTACCAAACTCAGAACCATGTGTTTTTTCTCTTGCCAGAAGAGATTTCACTAATGCTGTACTTTATCATGAGCTAGAAATGGTTCAACTAAATGGTAATGACAATGCTTTTATAAAATCACCATACTGCAGCTTACGAGTTGTATCTATCTCTGAAGAAGTTCAGAGTCAGAACTAATGTTATATAGCCTAAGTTAAGATAGTATACCCAAGAATGTATGTTATAAATAAGTGTCCGTAGTATATTTAAAAACATAATCTGCTTTTCAAGGGGTTTATCACAAAGTTGGGAAAAGAAGGAAGGACACAATGGGAAGTCAGGATGGATAAAATGAAAGTTGAAACAGTGAATTGGAATTTTTAGGTGACGTATGAATGGAAGAGAGACTAACATTTGTGTGTGAATAAATATGCAAATATTCATATGCTTTTACACTTAATATGGCTCTTGAGCCCCAGAAGACTGTGCATTCCTTTTATATATATTTTTCATCCAGTTAGCATATAATGCAATAAGTTCTGTACAGATACACATGGCACTCATATGAGGTTCTTGCTCAATAGTGTCTAGATAAAAACTATGGGAACTGAAGAAGAGCTCCACAACTGAAGAAAGTATTCTGCCAATAATTCTCAGAACCAGAGTATTTTTGCTTTTACGGAAGAATTGTATTAGAGTTAATAGTGAATTAGTAAGTCTTATTTTGCAGACAAGTTCACAGGTTGCAAATATCACTGAGTGCAGCTTATGCAAAATGCCTCATCTCAGCTAGTATTGTATTTATCTATGAAAATCAAAAGGCATTACTAAATCAAATGTCAAGTTTTTTAAAAAAATCAGCAACAGTGAATATTCTTTTTTCTTCAGATAAGCAGCCATGATTATTCTTGACAATGATTATTGTAATTGAAGCATCAGTCTAATTAACAATGGAACTCTGAATAATGCTAATGAGAGCTGAACATGGCATCAGAGAAAAGACTAGCTCTACAGGTGATAAACCTTCACAGTAGTGACATTTTCCAATGTAAAGTCACAGTTACTGTGATATGATCAAAGACAGAGACCCCCATTGGGTCTAATTATAACTATAGTTTTGGAAAAGAATTACTGAGTTATTATGTTCATAATCTATGCAGAAAGGCCTTTACAGTATAGGTCCTCTCCCTATAGTTGTGATCTTTTCCATTTATATTTAAGCACCATGGATTCAGATAAAAGTTTAGAGTCTGATTCATTTAGACAATGGAGAGCCTATTCCAATATTCATAGAAGTTTAACCATACCCATCCCCCAAAAAATTCTCCATTTTTTTTTAAAAAATATTAAATTAGAAGTTTGTGAAGTAATTGATTTACTTGGTATATTAAATAAATAAATAAATGCACACACACACACACACACACACAATTATGTACCATATACAGTCTTTTAAAGGAGGAAGCAAGGTATCAAAGCAACAGCAACTGTACATATTGGAGAGGGAACCTGTGTAAATTTTAGAAAATCAGTTAACTGTTTCTATAAGGTAATTATTTGAACAACGTAAAAGCAAAAGAAATAATCTTAAGCATTTTTAAGGCATAAGCTTCACTGAATTCAACAGGTCTTCCCTCCAATAAAAAAACGGATCATGGTACAAATGAACACTATCCTGTTATCTGCTATATTTTCCCCCTCAGATTAACAATGTTTTAAATTAACCTCAAGGATGATTAATGCATAGCGGAGGTGTGAAAAACATTTCAATTCGTTTAAACCTAAGAAGACAGTTTTGCTGCTATTGAAAATATATTGCACATACTAATGCTAAGATTGCATCAATTGTATTGGGTTCTTGTTGCTCTTTGTCTTGCGGTATAAGGAAAACGTACACTATTCTTACAAAGTGATGCTGGTAAACTAGAAAAAATGCAGAGGCCAGAGACACCAACTTTTGGAATCAGTGAGAGAACTAGGAGGTACTGCCCTGGATAATTAAAAGGGAATATATATGAGTGTGTACACACACACATAAATACAATATTGGACCTTGTCAAATCTGACATAGTGAAAAGTTAAAGCACTAAATCTGTAACTAATTTACTAACTATAAACAGAACGGAACACTGAAATTGATCTTCAGTCCCCCAATATAAGAAAGAATGCTGCTATTCAATACTTGTATGTACCCCATGTATTTTCAGGTACACTTCTTTTTAAAAGGAGGGCAGAAAGTTATAGTTAAAACACAAAGTAGAGAGCATTACAATGGTACTTCATGACCAACTTTTTCTGTTCATTAGATCAACCATGGTCACAGCTTTATAGCAAGATGCATGCTGCTTGCCTGTAAATATTTAAATGAGTACAAGGAGGATCTGCTGTCACAATAGAGCCTACAATAGAGTCCACACTATGTCTAGAAAAGGGACTTTCAGTGGCTAGACCTGTTAAATACTAATGTTTAATGAAAGAAAAGTGTTTGGATTTTCAGAAAATTAATAGAGTGATCATTCTGATATAATAAAAGAATGTACATTGATATGTATAACAGGATGAATATTTATGGGTGCATTTTAAAGAACTCATGTTAAATAATATGTGGTTCATATATACCGTATTTTTCGGAGTATAAGACGCACCGGAGTATAAAACGCACCTACCTTTTTTGGTTTTTGTTGTTTTTTTTTAAAGTTTTTTTTTTTTAGACAAACACACATACTAACATACAATGTATTTTCTTTGAACAGAGTATTTGGCTGGTTCACAAATTTAAACAGTGTTTAGTCATTTCAATTAAATTTACAATTTCTATATTTCATTTTTGCCATATTTATTCCTCATCTATTTTTTTAAAAAAACCAATATTACCCTTCATTCTCATCTCTAATCTTAATCAAATTCAATTTTTCCCTTTTATTCTATATTACACTCCTTCCCATTGTCATCTATTTTTATATCCATCCTCAAATTGGTTAATTATTTAATATTACAATTGTTTAATACAAATTCAACATTTTAATATAAATCAATTAGTAATATAACTATCTTTTTTGTATATTAATCAATATGAACATGAATATTCCAATTATTTCCATGCAATCCAATTTCTTACAAATCAATTAATTAGATTTACCAATAATAATAAACCAAATAATTTCCCCCATATATTCCTCCAAACCACAATTTAACCATTTCTGCTTTCAACACAATATGCAATTAATAGTATCTCAATTATTACAATTCCCTAGTTAAATAGAGCTTTTTTTCTTTTGTGTTTTAAAATCCTGAACTCTTCTCTTTTGCCCTAAATTTCCCATTGTTTGCACCTACCTTTTTTGGTGCGCAATCTCTCCCTGCCTCATTTTGTCACGTTGCATCAGAGCCTGCTTTACTTTCAGTTTTGTTTTTTCAGCACAGCTAGGGAAAAAAAAATCTGCTCCAGCACTTTGCAGCTAGCAGCAGAGCCCTGCGCAAAACAGCTGAAAGCAAATCAGCTGAGAGTCGGGAGGCCGATCTAATCAACTTGTGCTAATTAACCTATGCTGAAGCTGAAAGGGGCTGTTTTTTCTTGTTGTTTGCTTGCAAGGAGGTAACTGCTGCGAGGCAGAGGCCAAAGGGTGGGGGCCAGTGGGTGGGCAGGGCTACATTCGGTGTATAAGACACACCTAAATTTTCACCCCCTTTTATACTCCGAAAAATACGGTAGGTAGTCCTCTACTTACAATCATTCATTCAGTGATTGTTCAAAGTTACAATTAATGTGAATAAAGTAGGAATCATACAGGGTCAGTTACATGAACACTAAAGGACCCTCTCTATTCACATTATTATAAGGGAGAAATGTGCTTGTTTGGAGATTACATTAAAAATCAGCTAAATCCCATTATTGGTAATATATCTTAAGATGAGGCCTAGCTGTCACGGAAGGACAGCCATATGGAAAACATCTGAGGGGCCTCACTGTCAAAGACACAAGGACATGTATGTTACAAAGAGTTACTTATTACCTAAGGACAGCAATAAATCTCCCGTATTAGTAATTACAGAACTAAGGAAAGTTGTCTAGCTAAAGATAATCTTATAAACTAGAAAATAGTGGTTTAGTAATTAGGAAGTGTCAATTATCATATAACAAGTGTATGTTAACCATATATGGAAAAATGCATGAGCTCACCAAACCCTTTGTCTTGGAAACATATATAAGCAGTTGTATCAGAGCTTTCCGGGGTTCAGAATTTCAGGTACAAATCTGGCTCTGAACCTGCGCAATAAACTGTATCTGGCTGACCCAGGAATGTTTTTCAGTCTTTCATTCCATAACACAATGGCAGTGGGGAAAAAAATGACTTATGAGCAGTTCTCACATTTACGACCTTTGCAGTGTTTTCGTGGTCATGTGATCAAAATTCAGGTGTTTGTTGAGTGGCATGTATTTATAACAGTTGCACTGCCCTGAGGTCATGTGATCACCATTTCCCAGCTGACTTCTGACAATGGGTGAAGCAGATTTGCTTAATGACCACATGATTCCCTTAAGAACTGCAAGGATTTGCTTAAATGTGGTGGAAAAGGTCAT